CCCAAAACCCCAAAACCCCAGGTTAAATAACTTAAAATTAACTTAAAAATTCAAAACCCCGTAAGCTATCTTAAATATTTTATTCTTAATAACTGATGAAATTATTAAGTGGAATTCACTTCTTAAAGTTATCTCAATTATTATTAAAATATTCGAATTCTATATATCACTCATCATCTTCTTCATCGTCATCTTCTTCCTTGGGAAAGTATTTATACTTGTAAGCATTCTTAGTTTCTTGTTCTTATATACCATTTAGGGCCAATTGCTTTTTATTTACATCATCCATTAACTTATAGCTCTCAAATAGCCTCTCAACTTTTTCATCGATAACCTCTTGCTTAGTTTTTCTCCAAGTCGGTCTCTTGTACATCACTCTCTATTGATCTTGTCCATTATCGAAGTTTGAAGGCAGTAGTGCTCTTTAACCTCCAACAGCAGTGCTTGATATTCTGTCTTATCCTAAATAAAAATGTAATGAAAATCAATTACTGTTTGCAAGTGAGTATTCAAGTAAATCCTTATTCATATTTGACTTTGAATGCTAAGTTGCAGCAATAGTCATTTTAAGATAACCCTTGCTACCACCTTAATTTTTGTTCCCATGCACTGTTGATGGTTTATTAACTGCTTATTTCAAAGTTTTGTAAGCATTTATTATATCTAAGAAAGTATCATACTCTCTTTGATTGACAAATTAACTATCATTTTGGGATTAATTCGGCTCCTCAAACTCATTTTAATATATGTTCCTTTAAGAATTATTGTGTTCCTTCTTTTTAGGACCTAATATTTATCTGCATTACTCTTTAAATTTTTCCATTTTAAGTTTGCCAAAGTCTTCATCAAAGATTTACTAGATATTTGAGTCATTTTCAAGGTTAGTGTCTTGGATAAAATTTTGAATATTTGGATCATTGTTTTCTTCCTCTTTGATTACTTCTTGGTCTTTCTTTTAATATGCTTTTGTATCCTTTTTGGACTTGTTTCCTCGAAGCATTTCATCCTCAGTAATGAAAAATCTGTTCTCATTCTATTAATCTTGCTCATCCTCCTCTAAATCTTACTCTTATTGTTCGTTATTCTCTTATTGATATTCAATAGCTTAAATTCTTTCTTCTTTTGGTGGTAATGGGAAAAGATCCTCTTATTCTCTGAAAACATTTGGTCTTGATAAGGGTTAATCAGAAACGACAACCATCTCTCGACTCTATGGGAAGTTATAGTTTAGCATCAAAGGTGGTCTTCCATCTTATCTTTTAGATTTTTATCTCCTCAAATATGTTGGAGGTTAAAGAGTCTCGTTAATAAGTTTTCCTCCTTTTTACTAAAGAATTTATTCAAGATTAGCTGTGGCGAAAGGATCACCTTTTATTGCAAATGGATTACCAGTAACAACAAGATACAATAAGGACGGAAGTTACAAAACACAATACATAAGATCTTCTTCATTTTCAACTAAATTGAATGCAAAATTTAATTCTTATAGTTAAGAAAACGCTTATTTTTCAACTTCCTAATGAAGATTGTCTGGTGAGAGATCCTCTGAATGGAATGCTTTGAATTTGTTTCTTGAGAGGTTCAATTTTTTAAGGCTAGGAATAGTTGCCATCGCAGCAAATAGCTTATTTGGGTTAACAAGTAGTGAATCAGTGCTAAAATTATTTGAGCTTAAGTTAATTTCCTCTAGACATTTTAAAAAGCTTAGATCACTTGGAAGAGTGCAGAAATCATTTGATGCAATATTTAATACTCTCAGCTTAGGCAAATACTATAGTTATTGGAGATGACTAGGTGGTATTTTGTTATAAGACAGATGTAGTATAGCTAATTGAGGAAAAACACCTTCTTAAAGCTAAATATTGTCTAAGTTGTTGTATTAAAGGTCAAGTTCCTCTAAATTTTGCAAATTAATAAGTTGATCAATGTTGATATTGTTATCGGAGACATCAAGATACTTGAGATTCTGTTTGAAATACACTAAATCCTCTTCTCTGACATCAACAATATTTTCTCCTGATAACTTTGATCTGATAGCCTCATGAGGTAATTTTACTCTGCAAGAATATAAAAGTAAGAAGCCATCAAGTATTTTTGTCTTTCTCTTAGCTTCTCCTCTATGTTAAACTTATTACGAGTAGATTTGTCTCTCTTACTAGGCTTTCATAGCTAGTTTATCATAATACTTCAATTTTGGCTTCTTTTTCCTAATTTGAATCATTTGATTCATGTCTTGGATTTTTACTGGAAATGCTTGCCAATCTTTCTTCTTATCATATGCTGTTTTCTACATTTTATTTCCTCTCACATCTGATGATCCAACTCTGTTATGCTGACCCATTTCTGGCCTACTCATATTAGGCTAGTAACCTGATTAATCATTTATCATTGCCATTGATTTTCCTCTATCTTGATTTGGTCTTTTGCTTTCCTTGCTTTAAACATAAACATTTGGTTCTATTTATCTTTTTCTATCTAAAGAATTATTAATTTTTGTAAAGAATTTTTTACCTCTCGACTATGGATTCATAGCTGCGGAATTGTTATCTGAAAGTACCATATTAGATTCATGAGAGGAATACATATTAGGTGGGATGTTATTATTTGGCTGAAACTCGCTCATTGCAACTACCCTACCACTACCTCTACTTTTGCTATCATTGATTTGGTTGTTACTTCTCATTGAATTTCCTGAGTTTATGGTTTATCTTTGAGCTGAATTTTAAACATTAGGGTATGATATTCCATTATTAGAATTTCCCGCCTTAGAGCTATTTTTCCTTGTTCCTCTATTTAAAATTTAAACAAGGGATTTTACTAATCAAACGTTCCTTCCTCCATTGAATTATTCTTAAAATAAACCTTTTATTTATTTACGATTTCAAAATGCTTTTATTTTAAAAAGCATATGAACTGTGGGGTTTTGGGGTTTTGGGGAGATCGGAAGAGCA